GACTTAGTGCCATTTTCCTGTGATGCGGATTTCAGCACGCATGCAGATCTCGTTTCTTTAATCTGTGACGTGCGTAATGTGCGTATGTAATCTCACATTACAGGAAAAAGGCACATAATGCATTAAAATAATTAAGCATCAAAATTTTCACATATTTTTCACTTGTTTCTATTACAATAACAATAGATATAAAAAAATAATCGGCCAATAAAATATCCGCATAGATCCAAAAAGTGCATTGACACTGTTCAGCTACTGATCCCGATCGTGAACTGTCAAACGGTGACCGCTATTGACCCAATAAGTTAGAAGGGCCCGCAATAATGCGTCGTCGGTCTCCTCTAGGTGTTTGGCGAAAGGATTAGTTGATCCAAACTTAGACCCCCCTACATGGTTAGCTAATCGAGTTAGAACCTGGTTAATATTGGTATATAACATGACAGAAGTTTGATATGGTTCATAGTCAAAGTCAAAGTCAAAATTTCTTTATTTGTTTAGACTAATAAATAGTTCTTACAAATCGTCATTTTGCTCTTAAGGAGCCTCTACATGTCTCATAATCTTTTTACCCTACCAGCGCTTCGAGACCAACATTTGGCAAGTGCTGAGAAGAAGCGCCGCAACAAACTCAGTATCTAACTCAGTCATATTATGTAGAAGTTACCTTATGATACGCATAGTTTCTCTGTTTATTTATTTATTTATTTATTGAAAAAGATACACCAACGATGTTGATGTTGTGAGGAATGTGGGTGAATCTTGAAACCATATTCAATTTCCAGCAGGTGAGATAACGGTTATAAGCTTGCCCGTTCAGATGATAAAACTTTTTAGGGACAATAACATACTAAAGGTTCGTTCGTTTCAGCCAAATGACGTCCACTGCTGGACAAAGGCCTCCTCCAAGGCTTTCCACAATGCACGGTCCTGCGCTGCCCGCATCCAGGCTCTTCCCGCGACCTTTACGAGATCGTCGGTCCACCTAGTAGGAGGCCTGCCCACGCTACGTCTTCCAGCCCGTGGTCGCCACTCGAGAACTTTTCTGCCCCAACGGCCATCGTCTCTACGAGCTATGTGCCCCGCCCACTGCCACTTGGTTTTAGCAATTTCGTTTCAGCCAAATGACGTCCACTGCTGGACAAAGGCCTCCTCCAAGGCTTTCCACAATGCACGGTCCTGCGCTGCCCGCATCCAGGCTCTTCCCGCGACCTTTACGAGATCGTCGGTCCACCTAGTAGGAGGCCTGCCCACGCTACGTCTTCCAGCCCGTGGTCGCCACTCGAGAACTTTTCTGCCCCAACGGCCATCGTCTCTACGAGCTATGTGCCCCGCCCACTGCCACTTGGTTTTAGCAATTCTGCGAGCTATGTCGGTCACTTTGGTTCTCCTGCGGATCTCCTCATTTCTGATTCGATCACGCAGGGAAACTCCAAGCATGGCCCGCTCCATCGCCCTTTGGGTGACCTTGAGCCTTCTTATGAGGCCCATAGTAAGCGTCCACGTTTCGGATCCATAAATCAACACTGGCAGCACACACTGCTCGAAGACTTTTGTCTTGAGACACTGCGGTATTTCGGACGTGAGTATATTGCGTAGCTTCCCGAACGCTGCCCAGCCGAGTTGGATTCGACGATTGACCTCTTTCTCGAAGTCCAGTTAGGTAGGGCCAACTTCGAGAAAGAGGTCTATACTAAAGGTACTAGAACATATTATATTAGGTGGATCTGACGTCATCCACGCCGCCCCGCGCCCGCCGCGCCACACAGCGCGCCGCACCTGGTCGGCGTCGAGCGGCGTCAGAGCATACTGCAGGTACTAGAGCATCCTGCAGGTACTAGAGCTTACTTCAGGTACTAGAGCATACAACAGGCACCAGAGCATACAACAGGCACCAGAGCATACTTTCTACAGGTACTAGAGTATACTAGGGGCACTGTATTAGGTGGATCTGATGTCACCTCACGTCGCCCACGTCGCCGCCGGCCGCCACGCCGGCCGCGCACCCCGCGCCCGCCGCGCCGCACAGCGCGCCGCACTTGCTCGGCGTCGAGCGGCGCCAGAGCATACTACAGGTACTAGATACTACAGGCACATCATCAACTCCTACGTCATCATAAAGGTAGCAGACAGGCGCTGGACGCAGGCTACCAATCGATCAACATGTGGACGTCTTATGGCTAAAATTATGATGATGATGACTACAGGCACTGTATAAGGTGGTCGCCCACACTTGATCGGCGTTGAGCGGCGCCAGAGCATAGTACAGGTACTAGATAATGCTACAGGTACACTAGAGTATGCTACAGGTACCTACCGTTTAGCAGAGCACACTGCAGGAACTAGAACATACTACAAACAGACTTTAAAAATTCTTTCACCAATAGAAAGCCACATTATTGCTGAGTGTCATAGGTTATATAAAAAACCGAAAAATTCCACGCGGGCGTAGCAGCGGGCGGAAAGCTAGTCCAAAATTATTTGCATATTGTAATGTCCATTTACGAGCACGTCACGATATTATAGCAAAATGTTACCTACTTATCTGGGGGCACGGCAGTGCCCCCGCCAAGTCGAGCGCGAAGCAAACACTGCCGTACCATCCTTTACTGGAACCATTTCGCCGCATTTTCAGGCCCCTATTTGAGAACCTCTGGATAAGACCAGAACGCAGAAATTTTCGTCATCTATTAGGCTATAATCACATAGTTAAAATCCAAAATTTCAAGTCTGTAGGTCATTTAGTTCCGAAGTTAAGCGAAAGCAAAGTTTCGCATTTATGACACTCACTCACTCACTGATGATCATCAAAATAGAACTAGTACTTCCCATAAACTCAGAGAGCTGAAATTTGGTACAGAGTTAGGGTTTAATGGCCACTTAAAGGGAAAACTATAAAAACTAGGAAAATCGAAGGTCTGGAGTAACACCACATTCATAATCAATACTACTAGCGCCACACCGGCACCGTGGTGTTCGCCTGTACCGCTCACCGCTAGATGGCGCTAGCACTTTGAGTGTTGATTTTCTGCACCGCGGTGTCCAGATTTTTTTTCCTTTCTAGACCCCCCCGTCGATTAAGTTAATTGTTGTGTAGTTTTAATTTCGTTGATTTCGTTTATTGTATCGTGAGGTTCGCTATGATTAAGTTATTAAACCAATCATTCTGATTTTGTCCATTAAAGGTCGTTGAGTTAATTTATGTTTAACATCGTAAAAAAAAAATGTCGATAATTAGGTGTTAGAGTAGGCGTACACCGTTGATTTTTCGTCGGCCGATAGTTTAGTCGGGCTGTTGATCCTTGATCAGTATGGGCATGTATTATGGGAGTGCGCACACTACGCCGATTCAAATTGGATTATTAAAAGACGACTACGTTAAATTATAATTATGCCACTTTCTACAAAAAGAAGTGAAATCCCACCAAAAACATTCTTTAAAAAACTAGCCAAGTCTCGTTAGGGCTGCTTGTTTATCTCTAAAAAGTAATGAAATCTAGACAAAGTCGTGCCAAGTCTATGATGGTTCCTTACTGCGATTTCTTTATTATTATAGTTAATGTTGTGTGACTTGGCCGTTGAACAATCTTTATTACGATAATCATACACAAGTATTATTGAAATACGCAGCTTTATTAAGCCTACAATTGACTGGTTATTGAATCAACGTTTTCCAAGTGGCAATTTTCCATCGTCAATGGGTAGCGGTTCTGGCGACAGATTGGTGCAATGATGTCATGATGGAGCACCTGATTTTGTACCCTTCAACGGCCAAGTTACACAACATTAACTATAATAATAAAGAAATCGCAGTAAGGAACCATCATAGACTTGGCACGACTTTGTCTAGATTTCATTACTTTTTAGAGATAAACAAGCAGCCCTAACGAGACTTGGCTAGTTTTTTAAAGAATGTTTTTGGTGGGATTATATTGTCCTGCAACTATTAGATATTTCATAACTAATACGCTCGTTTTTTTTTTTTTTTTTTTATGTGATAGGAGGCAAACGAGCAGACGGATCACCTGATGGTAAATGATTACCGTCGCCCATAAACACCCGCAGACCCAGGGCTCATTGGGCAGGCCTCCCACTAGGTGGACAGACGATCCAGCAGTGAACGTCTTTCGGCTGAAACGAACGAACGCTCATTAAACCTTTTTATTTCTTTTGAGTTCGCATGACAAATCTTGTTAGGCTGCAAACATCAACATTGCCATTTATATATTTTCTTCTGTAATGCCTAAGATGTGTTTCTAAGCCCTTAAGCGATCAAATTCTTCAAATGTACACCGAAATCCCCAGAGATAAGCTGCGTAATATCACTTGAAATACAAAGAATTATTTTTATAAATATTTTTTGAGATGAGTAAATATTAAATTTCAACGCTGAAAGTCAATGAAACCAAGCACTGCATTTATAACATGCTTAAACCGTTTACCTAAAGAATAAAAGATATCAGTCCTAAAATAATAAAATAATATTATACCTCATTAGCCGAAAACTAAATAGAACTTTTAATTCTTTTTCTCTTGAAAATCTCAACCTTCTCAAGTAGGATAAACGAGAGGTCAAGAGTTCAAGTCCCTTACGCAGTTTAGTAAATAATATTTAGCAATTTAAGCATAAACCCTATTAAATTACGTAAAACAACATACTACTATGGCAATCAGATGACATACTACCACCGAACTGTAATACTTATTTTGCTACGGTTATGGGTTTGTTTCCTATTGGGGACAAACGTCTGTCTGGTGAGCATGATCAATTTGATTTATTTGCCTGAAGTCATGAAGTATTATAGTCTAGGTATGTTTAATATTCCTTCATACATATAAATGTCCCCATTGGGACTTGAACCTACAACCGCTGCTGGCGTTATTTAGTAGGTATGCGATCCGCCAGGCCAAGCGTCTGTCAAAAATATAAAATGTGTTTTATTCTTTTTAAACAAACCTTTTTTATATTTTTAGGGTTTTTATGTATTTTATTTTATTCCCAGGTGGCTTGGCTTGACGCGGACACCGGGCAAGAGCGCGTGCTATGGCGGGAGATAGACAAGCTCTCGCGCGTGGTTTTCCCCGCCCTATTCCTTCTCTTCGTGACTATGTACTGGCCCGTTCTACTACTTAAAACGAAGACGTCTTCATAACAATTAGAACTAAACACATTCCTTCGCCATCGCCTTTGAAATAAATAAAAAAATACATAAAATGAATGAGGTCTAATGTATTTTCCGCGTCATTTTGTATGGAAAAAAGATACAATAACATAATTTTTTTTTGCTTTTTCGTTCGTCGTTCCGTGTTTAACATTGATTTATTCTGTCTACGTTGTTTCGTGAAATATTTTTGTGTTGTTATTTCAGTAATAGGTTTTTCATAAGTTCCCCGAATTTGCCGCTACTGCGAGATTTGTTCTGCTCTTAATAAAGTTCTGTAAGAAATAACAAGATTATTTTAGGTTTGTAATACCATTTGATTGTAATTTTTCTTTTTGTAATTCTTTTTCCTTCAACCCTGTAAAACTCGATGGTCTTTGTCTTTGAATCATTTCCTAGATTTTTATTTTGCTTACAGTCATAAACATGAAAGAACAGATTCGAACAGCGTGTCATAAAAAAACCAGAAAAATACAATTCCGCTAAGAAAAAAAAAGTCAATCAGTTTTCCCGAATTTGAAATACCTACCGAGGGAATTTCAATTTTTTTCTCGTCATAAGAATCTTTCATGAACTTCGACGAATATTTAACAAGAAAATTTGCCGAATTTGACTAACTGTTCTCGTTTTTTGCGTCTACACATTTAGTGATTCACTTTAATTTGCATCTTAATTAAATTCTCAAAAGGCGGTGGCGAACTTTTATACAATAAGACCATTCATAAGATTTTAAGTATGATGAATACCAATTTTCGCTTACCGAGAATTCCTTGTATTACGCACACCTACAAATTCGTTTGTATTTCTAATAATAACAGGTCAAAATTTTCATTGAACCTCTGATTTCCCAAAATTAATTAAGGACTCTACCCACTACACCATGTCAAAACGTAGCCACTCTATTATCTGTCAAAATATATAACCGATTATGATGTCAAAGTGAAGTAATTTGATATCATTGAGACAGTTCAGTCTCTGTTTCAGACGATAAGTATTTGATCAAACAATAATTAATAAAAAAATAATCATGGCTTGTTGCTACGAGATTATGCAATTGTGGTCATAAGATGTAAGCATTATAGGAAAAGTAAGTTTAAGTTTTTTATATCCTTGGAGGAGCGAAGATTGGTACACGACTTTATTCTTTTTATTTCATTTTGTGTCATATTGTATACTAAAAATAACAAACTTAATCAAGTGCTTTATAGACCTTTTTTAATTTAGCATAATTACTAACGTTTTAGTAAAGATTCAGGTAAGATCAGCATCAAAAACATAGTTTCGTTCTTTGACTTTGTAAATTTTAAGTATATCGAACAAATTGAATGTTCTTGGTGGTGATTTCTACAGTGCTAAAGGCATTTAATGTCAATGTACAAAATAATATGCACAAAAATGTAAATTAGTAAAACTAATTAAAAATATAATATTGTAGATAACTGAACTTTGAAACACCATTAAATTGTAAGTCAGCGCAAATATTTTTTTAATTTATAATTATAAAATATTAATATTACTTTTTTTATTCGGATTTTTTTCATTTGCATATTTTTATTTCATGTAGGTATTAACTTTCATGATTATACTTATTATGGGTCGTCATCGTAAAATTCAAAAGCTTCCTTAAATTAATTTAGTTGTGTATTTATTCATTTTGATCAAATAACTTAAAATGTTTCATCTTTAATTAATCAGTTTTCTTAATCAAGAAAAATCAACTGTTGATTGATGATTTACATTAAAAATTGTAATTTAATTTTTGTAATGTAATCAACTCATCCTTAAAACGAACTTTTTCTTTTGACACTGTTAGATAAATTATATTTTCATAAATTAGAATGTTATTTGGGCAAAAATTTTGAAATGAAGGTCAAAACTAGATTCAAACTCAAATAGACAAATCCTGTGATTGGTTAGATCACAAGATGTTAGCCCAATTGCAGTCTTGAATTTATTCTTGAGATTGTATTGAGCTTGGAAACGTTTCATAGTTTGATTTGTATAAATATTGTTAAGGTGCTGTTATAAAAATATTAAGTAACACCTCAGTTTTCGTGTGAGAGTTAATGCAAAGAGAGAACTTGATAGATTCCTAAAAAAATATGCACAAGAAATCATATAAATCCGTTAACTCTCATCATTTTATATTGACATGCAGGGTGTTGAACAACGAATTCAAGACGTTATAAATGCTTATTTAATTGCTAGGTATATCATAAATACGATCGATTTGTAGCAAGTTAAGTGAAAATTAAAAGCTATATTTATGTATGTTCCCGTCATATATTTTTTACTTACTTTATTTTACCAAAGTGATAATTGTACAGTTGTTTCACCCTATATTTATTATAGTGTATGAAAAGAGGGTGCTTCATCACGTCCGCCGCGACAATCATATTTCAGCTTTAACCCATTGTGATAGCTTATGTAATTGTATCCAGAGTTTTAACGCTTGTTATAGGAATGTTGTAGTTAAATTGTGAAATCAGACTTTTAGCTAAATGTACGGAAATTGGGAGCAAGTAATATGTATTTCAATGTAAAATTATATGTAAGTCTATCGATGAAGTCTACATTATTGACTTGGGATTTTAAATACATTTTAAAGTCTTTACTTATACTCGAATCAAGTGCAGGACAAGGTAAATAAAGGCAAGTCTAAAGGTGCCGTAGACCAAGCGGGACAGGGGATCGAGACCGTTTTACTGGTTATTAATATTTTTATCAGCGGACGAAATTAAGACAGGGACTCTTGTCTTAGACTAGTCAGTATCTGCCTCAATACAGCTATTTCATGCGTCTCGTTTTTCTGGTATGACATGCTGACAAGTTGAGAACTGAATACTGATGGAATGATCCTTAATTATTAACTATGATGTTGGACTCTGGCTCCGCCCACAGTGTAAAGAGAGACATGTCGATTTCTCCAGTCTCTATATCCTGTCTCAGTGTGCTAAAGATAAGTAATTTTGAGGCATAGATTACCCTAATTGACAAAGGAAAGTTCTCGAGTGGCGACCACGGGCTGGAAGACGTAGCGTGGGCAGGCCTCCTACTAGGTGGACCGACGATCTGGTAAAGGTCGCGGGAAGAGCCTGGATGCGGGCAGCGCAGGACCGTTCATTGTGAAAAACCTTGGGGGAGGCCTTTGTCCAGCAGTGGACGTCATTTGGCTGAAACGAACGAATTGACCAAAGAAACAATACAAGTATGTATGTTAACTTTTAAAATATTTTTAATTAAAAAATGGATCAAACCGTGCCTTAAACCTTTCGTAAGTAGCTGATTTCATAATTGTACTACTACATGGTGTTTGCGTTTTTCTGCAAAACTTAGAAACGCGAGGATTAGATAAAAGATAATTCGTCCTTATTAATAAATTAAGAGATATATTTTATAATGGAGAGTTAGTAATTTCATAGTAGGTAAGTTAACTCTTTGACCGGTTACCACTTCACCCTTATTTTGATTTTAATTACACTGAATAGAGCTTCAAATTAATGAAAAATATTTTTGTCTACCGGTTTGAGGGTTAATAAGCTCATAAAAGATTATAATTTTGGCTGAGGTCATTAACTTATAAGATTTTATTAATAAACACAATATTTGTTGAATAATAAGTACTACTTAAAGTAAGAAGGGCTTAGGTTTAAGTAATAAGTATGTTGTTAATTGTACAGTTTAATCATAAATTGTCATTATATGAAATAACCAATGATATTTTAAGCAACTGAACTTTGTCCAAAATTTACTTTGCTATTAGAATAACGATTGGTCCTTTTAAATACTGTAGAAAAAAGATTTGTTGATATTAAAACAAAGGATATGAATGATTCATATTTGACTTTTTATTTACGTGTCTCTATCTTATGACATAACGAAACATTTTACAATATCTACTATTAATAGACATGTTTAAGAAAACCGCCTCTTCAAATATTTGTAGCAAAATCATCGACAGTTGAATTGCAATCAAAGTACAGAGTAGGTAGATTTAGGTATATTTTAACATATCACTTAAACTTACAATACACAGATACTCCAATAAATTGTTTTGGTAGGTTTTTATTATATCTTAATAATGTTTATTATTGCCAAAGTCAACTGAATTTACTAGATTATACTTAATGCCAGTGTGGCAAAGTCCTTAAAGCTAGCTGAGTGTACAATAAGTGTATTTTGATGATACCACCAAGTCTATTTAGCAAAGTCACAAGAACTATTACATATTGTATATTAGTTAAGGAATTTGTTAGAGGTTGGGTTGGGAACTTGGGATTTATGTCATGTGCATCCCAACTAATATTATAAATGCGAAAGTAACTCTGTCTGTCTGTCTGTCTGTTACGCTTTCCCGCTTAAACCTCGCAACCGATTTTGATGAAATTTGGCATAGAGATAGTTTGAGTCCCGGGAAAGAACATAGGATAGTTTTTATCCCGGTTTTTGAAACAGGGACGCGCGCGATAAAGTTTTTCTGTGACAGACAAAATTCCACGCGGGCGAAGCCGCGGGCGGAAAGCTAGTATTTACATATATTATAAAAGGGTGGTCTCTAAAGATACCATCATGACAATATCAATCAATGTTACTCATACAGAAAGGGTTTTTTCACATCTACATAATATTATAAAAGGGTGGTCTCTGAAGATACTATCATTACATCAATTTTACTCTGACAGAAAAGGTTTTTTGCTTGTAAGCAGAATCTTTCGATAAATACATTTTATAGAGACGATAAGAAGCGTATTAGCGCTTAAGCCTAGGTACGTTAATAATGAATATATCTTTCTGGAATCGATGTATTACGTGACTTATTGAAAACGTTTTATCGGATTCACAAATCTTGAGGAAATTCTCTTGAGTAAAGAACCTAATCTTAGGAATACCTATAGAAGCCTTCAGACGTTCATGTGCCGCCTTTTCATCTTCTTCATGTTATTTGTAACACAAGCCTAATCTGGGCTTAGCCTAAAAGTAATGAATACGCTGATTTTCATTAACCGTATATAAAAAAGGCACTGAGGCTTTTAGCAAACCACAAACATTCAAAACCTTTTGCAAACAGTTTTAATTTGGGCAATATTCGTGTATGCTATCTGTCGTTCCAATATTTAAAGGATTAAAAAAACATTTATAATGCGCTTCAAAAGCTTTTTGCTGTTACTTCTTAACTGTTTAATATTAACGCGCAATAAAAATGTTTTGGATGTTACTTTGTTTTTCGCTGTAAAATGCGAAAAGGATCGACCTTTCATGAATAACTAATGAATTATGCACAAGAGTAGAGATAGTTCATATGGACGATACCACATCATGGTAAGCACTGTGGAGTTTTAAATGCTTAAAATATAAAATGTTTAGAAATTACGGCTCGATTACTATGGGTAGGTTGCTCCATTACTCGATAGGCCTTAAAAAGTGGAATATAATATGGCACTCCTTTAACTGACCGCTATGATA